ACGCGAGAGGTGACCTTCATCGGCCATAGTCCTTTGAGGCACCAACGCTTGGTATGACCAGGACGAAGCGGGCACTTATCACACCCGCGGAAGGATCAAGCAATCAAGAAACAACCTCTACTTGCCACAGCATCTCGGATGGCTGACGCAGGCACTGGAACCAAGGCTGTTGGTCAAGCGAAAGTTCTTTGGGAATTTGTTCAAGTATTTCCCAAACACTTAGAAAAAATTTTGAGAAAAGAGAGGGTTCCTCAACAAGGAACCATGGCTAGCCGACGAAGATAGGACCATCTCCTTGGACAAGCCATTTCTTATCCAGCACCCTCATCGGCCACAAGCCAGACCTTGGGCGACAGCGGTACCACAAGGAAGCAATTATGCCTTACATCTGTACTTAGAAAATTCTCTAAGTACTTAAATGAAGGAACTCTAGACGAAGCGGGTACCTTTATACCCCAGGGCCGTTAGCTATCTACACCTCTGCATGTGTACTTAGAAGAATTCTAAGTTCAAAAGATCAGGGTGAAGGTGCCCTTCTCGGCCACAACACAAAGGATACAAGCCGACGACACTGGCTCAAACACTTGGGAAATCTCCCAGAGCATTTGTCAAAAATGATGAATCCAAGGCCAGGACGATGAGAACGCTCAGTCACTTGAAGTTAGAAACTTGGGAAAATTCCAAAAGATAAGAAAGCCAACGCCTGGACGGAGCGGACACCACGGTCAAGGCTGAAAAGGGAAGCACCTAAAGGGATCTAAAAAACACTTAGGAAATTTTTGAAAAAATCCTAAGTGTTATGATAGCAAAGGAACACCGGTAAGGCCGACAAAGCCACCAGGCCGGAAAGAAAGCAACTTCGTGGATCCAAAAACACTTGAGAAATTTTTGAAAAAAAATCCTAAGTGTTATGGTAGCCAAGAACCACCGGTCAAGCCGACAAGGCCACCAGGCCACAAGGAAGCAACTGTAAGAACCCAAAATCACTTAGGAAATTTTTTGAAAGAATCCCAAGTGTTATGATACTACATCAACACGGTCAGGCCGACCAAGCCACCAGACCGGGAAGAAGGCATCCAAGTGAACCCAAAACACTTAGGAAATTTTCTGAAAAAATCCTAAGTGTTATGGTAGTAAAGCAACGACGAACAGGCCGACCAGGCCACCGGACAGGGTGGACTACCCCATGGACGTAGCGGGCACTCGCGAGGTGACCCAAGTTGTGACCTTGACACTCAGAAAAAATTTCAAAAACGAAATGACAAAAGGCAAACAAGCATACAAGGGATTCAAAGCCGAGCAGGACGGAAAAAATTTTTCATTGATAGTCAAGTTCATTAAATTTTTCATTAAAATTGTTTTTAATATTAAGGCCATACAAAAGTTTTTGTAAATCACTCTTTTTTTTACCAACAAGATCATTTCTTTGCAAATAAAATTAATTTTATTTGTTAAAAAATATTTTTTTTTGTTTCAATAGCAGGGATTTATGTTGTTATGTTACCCATGTTATGGAATATGTAATCACACCGATGAAAAATCTAAGTTAGGTGTATGCAAAATGTAATTTGCTAAGACAAGCCCAAATGTAACTGACGCATAGAATGATGTAACTCACGCATAAGAAGATGTGACTCGCTCATAAGAAGATGTGACTCGCGCATAGGAAGATGTAACTCCGCATCTTATCAAATGTAAATGCGAAAATTGTCTATAAACATAACTCACACATACGAAAAATGTAATCTCATGTTTTATCAAATTTAAATCGAAACAAACAAATTTAATGTATTAAAAACACTAAATACATACAAAAGAGACATAGAATATTTTTTGGCAAAGAGAAAAAAAATACATTATCAAAATAAGTGTATGTATTCGGTAGAAAAAAAAATACTGTTTTACATAACAAAATGTATAAATTTGGTAGTAATTTCGGTTGACCAAAAAACATTAAGCGCGTAAACAAATTAGCATAAATTAGCATAGTGTGTCAATATCCCATATATAGTTATGCGCAATCATTATCTGATTAGTCCCTTCTACAGTAATAATGTATTATACACAATACTAATTTATCACTTTATAGCTAGTTTGTTCATGAATGTTCTTTTCATGGCCAATATAATTACACGTTTTATCAGTTTTATGTCAATGCATCAACAATAATAGAAAATTTTCTTAATTTTCAATAAGTGATGTATAGAATGATAATATGTATTTATAACATACGAAGTATGATAATTGAACCTAAATGCAATTATAGAAACTATCATATTAGAGCTAATTTAATTGTTCATATCATGGTTTTTGTAGTATAATTGGACCTAAATGCAATCAATTTTATATTTTTATCATATAAGAATTGGGCCTTTTGACTTCAATATTACAAAAATGAGGATAAAAGATAAAAAGGATACCTCTTTTTTATATTTCCAAAAATGTGACCAACTTACACACCCTCCAGATCTCTAGCACTAGATTCACAAACCGCCACTCAGGAGGTCACCCATCGCAAGACTACTCCCGTGCAAGCACGCTTAACTTTGGAGTTCTTAGCTGATGAGTTCCATTAAAAGGAGATGCACCTTGTTGGTATGAGTAGTACTATTAATCCATTGAAATTAAATCTCAAGTGTGACACAACCGCCCAGTGACTAATCCCCACCACCGACTAGTGACTAGTCCCCACTACCGGACAAGGACTCATCCCTGCCTTTAGTGAGTAGTCCGCCGCCGCCATTGACCGGCCCCCATCGCCGGACAGTAACTTGTCCCCTTGTGTCAACCCAGTCCCTACCCCTCCAACATCATCGTACCATGCCCCACCCCTCAGGCCCTACGGTACCACCACGCACTAGCCCCAAATCGTTCCTTCTACTGCCCCAGCCCCACGCCCCAACTCCAACAGGCCATGTTCCCTTGCCCTACCAGTGACCTATTTTCACAAATTCACCAAGTAGCAACCCTAGATTTCTATAATCAACAAAGAAGGAGATGAAATTGGTTCCCACCCTGTTACATCTACAGTCGCGCACCCGCCCCAATTGTCTTAACCACCACCGCCCATCTAAAGACACATTTTCATTTACTCACCACCACTAGTCGGATGAACTCCGGTGGCGTCACTGGTTTTCATCCTCAAGCTTTTGCCAGGAAAAATCAACGGACTTGAAGGTCGTAGCTAGCTAAACTTCCTTGTCGCTCGTCAGCTAGAATGGTCGCACGCTACGTCGATCTGCTCGAGTATGAGTGCGACGGTGGTGACTGAACCACAACTTGGGCGGCGAGGTGAGGCGGAGATCAGGACGATGAAGCGAGGCGGAGATCTGGACGACAAGATGACCCCAAATCGGAGTCTTCATCCATCAAGGATGGTGGATCCGTCACCGGTGGCCCCGAATTGGAGTCGTTGCCCATTGAAGAAGGCGAGCTGGAACAGGCGGCCTGAAATCGGAGTCATCATCCATGGGAGGGGCGGCCAGCGAGAACAATGGAGAAGCTAGGCGATGCTAATGCCATCGACGAAGCTGAGGGCGGAGGTATAAGATCCTACCTTCGATGAAGGCAGATTGCATCGGAGACGGAGGCAACAAGTTGGTTCTGCACTAGAGCTTGTGCGGAAGTCTGGGGTGGAAGATGAAACCGTAAGTTGAAAGCGAAAGGTGCAGGGATACGTTAAAAGTCGGGTCACTTTTGTCAGTGGCGGAGCCACTTTAGTTCAAAGGTATTCATATGAATACCTAGGATTTTGAAAAATATGGTAGTATACATGTATAATTTAGTTTAATTATTTATTGTCTTTTCAAATTTTAATTAAATAAAAAAATGAACACCCAAAACTTAATTCATAGATCCGCCACTTACTTTTGTGTACTTTTGTAAAGTAGTCATATTTTTGTCCAACAGAAGTTGAGAAGTAATATTGGTGTCATTCTTTTTAAAAATTGTTCATATCTTATGTAGGCCAGAATTATAATTTGGTGTACGTACCTAGTAATTAGACTTAAAACATACATACATTTTTTAGAGGTAGAGCCATATTTTATTGAAGTAAGTCGGAAGATAGTCATTAAGAAAAACTCATTTGGACCTTACATTGTTCTTTTATAAAACAGAAGGCTGATATAATAAAAAGTATTGATAATTACTACTCCCTCCGTCCCCCTAATATTGGTACGGAAGGGAGTGATGTGGTTTTTAAGAACAGTAGAATTATGTGGTTGGTAATAAATTGATAAAGTGGAAATAAAGTAAGAATGAATTAGAGCCACACAAATTTTACCAAATATGGTATGTGACAATAATAAAGGGACATCCAGAAATGGAAAAATTGGACAATTATAGGGGGACGGAGGGAGTATTATAAATGTACATTGAATTTGTTCTTGGAGGGGGTTTGGCGCATGTTTAATTATAACATAGGGGGGTTTGATGCATTTTTTAAATCACAGAAGGCTAATGCGCCGAATTTATATTTTACGAGGGAGTTCGATGCATTAAACCCATTTTTTAATGAGATGGGCGGAATAAAGTCAAATATTTATATATCTAATTCCAGTTGAGGTTTAAGTTGAGGTTTAAGTGAAATAAATAAAATGATATAAGTCATATACGTAGTCCCACCCACTGCTTTCCTTTTTATCAGTTGCTTTATAATATTTGCTTTATTTACACATCTTATTTTTATCACGATTTTCTACTAATATATATAATCAAAGTATTATGTATAAAATTTTATTAAATTAATATTCATGTGAATTTCTAAAATATTAACTTTTTATAATATTTAATATTATTCTTTCAAAAAATGAATGTTTACTACTCCTCCATCCCTTAAAACTTTGTCATCTTTCCTTTTTGGGACGTCCCAAAAAACTTTGTCACTTTCCTTTTTAATCAATTACTTTGTGGTTTCTGTTATTTCTCTCTCCTCTGAACAAACCTCAACCACACTGTTTTTACTTTATTAATCTCCGTGTCGGTCAACTTTGGCAAAGTTTTAAAGGACGTAAATAGAATTACATAATTAAATATAATTACAGTCAAAATTCTGTGTTGACAAATGTTAAAGTCAAACTATTTGGAGAGCTTAACAAAAAACATATTCAATTATTTGGAGAGCCTAAATGGAACGTAAGGTACACGAAATGAAAGGGCAGGCGTACATATGTACTACGTACTGTACTAAAGAAGTACGTACTAACGGGGTTTATTCGGGTAAAAACAATATAAATTCCTAACAAGTAAAAACATGTTAAAATTTTTAAAATAGAATCTTAATGTTTTTATTCTTTAAATAGAAGTAATTTTTACTAAATTTGAAAAAAACTTGACAGAAATTGCAATGTTTAATGTCTGATAATGCTAAACTTGACAAAAATACTCGTATTTAGAAGATAAAGATATGACAATTCAATTTATAAATTTAGAAACATTTTTACTCTGGAAATTTTTCCTAAAACCAATGTCCCGCCGCTAATAGGGGTAATAACCGAAGAGGTTCTTGGCGAGTGCGGCTTCTACATCGTCTTCATCTTCTTTCCAGTGCTCGAAATAAAAAACCTCATTGATAGCTTCGACTTCTTCCTCCTCCTCCTCTTCCCGGCTAGGGTCATTCACCCAACCATTGATCTCATGATGAGAGTTAGAGCCAAGAGGAGAGACACTGCCTTGACCTTCTTCGCCTTGGGGGAGGAGTGGGAAGACGGCGCTCGGATCTCCTGTGATGTAGGCTTTCGCAGCTGGCGAAAGAACGGCGACCACGACCTGGCTTCCGGGAAATAGATGGCAGAGCTCCTCGGATTTTTTGAACAGCCCTTTACGGCGCTTGCTGAAACAATTATTCCTTGCCTGCGAAGACTCTATCTTCTTCATCTCTATTTTAGCTTTCCCTTTTCCCATTTGGTTTCTTTTTGGCGAGCGCCGGTAGCTTGCTGGTGGACTACGAACGTGCGTGGAGGTATAGTAGCTATGTAGGACTTGCTGTTTTGATCTTCACCAATTCATAATCGTATACATATATATATAAGTAAAAATTGATCATCCACTCCTGCTATTTCCTAATTCCTTTAAGGAAATTTGACCAAATCCTTACGTCTTTGTAGGACTTGCTGTTTTGATCTTCATGTACGTCTTTGTACATGTTCACACTGCGTTTGTCTTTTTGTCACTGTCTTTGGTCTATCCTCCAACATTGTCTGTACTACACCATCTCAAGACGATAAGGCTGTGAACTTCAATTCCAACTCATCCTACACCAGTGCTTATACGGTGGTACAGCACCATGCACCTTTGTTATTTTTTATTTCTATTTTTCTTAAAATTGTTAATAATTTTTTTATTTTTGATCCGATTTTTATAAAATTTATACCAAATTTTTTTATTTTTCATAATCTTTCAAATGAGACCTGTTGGGTTAATGGCCTTCCAAGACCGGCCCATAAACCACCTGGAGCCCAAGGGCCAAAGGACGTACGTGGCCCACCAAAGCCAGGGGACGTACGTAGCCCAGCATAGCCAGGCCCCAGGGTCCAAGAGCCAGGAGACGCACGTAGCCCAGCATAGCCAGGCCCCAGGGTCCAAGAGCCAGGAGACGCACGTAGCCCAGCATAGCCAGGCCCCATGATCCAAGAGCCAGGGGACGCACGTAGCCCAGCATAGCCAGGTCCCAGGGTCCAAGAGCCAGGGGACGCGCATAGCCCAGCATAGCCAGGCCCCAGGATCCAAGAGCCAGGGGACGCACGTAGCCCATCATAGCCAGGCCTCGAGGCCCAAGGGCCCGGGGATGAATGTCTGGTGGGTTATATTCAAAGGCCCAGGCCGCCATCTAAGAATTGAGTTCAGTTTAGGGGACGGACGTCCCCCGCATTATGGCGGGAAACCAAAATCTTGGCGGGAAGCGCATTTAATGCTGAAGATTTGGTGGTTGGAATCATGTCGCCCACAGCCGGCCACGTCAGCCCCCCAACCACCAGGGTGTACTATAAATAGCCGCATTTATTTCATTGTAAGGGGTTCGCACATCGTTACTCTAGAGTTGTAATAGCGTCAACAGTACGTAGCTTATTTTCAGTACGTTCGGCCCTTCGGCTTGTAATCACTCTATTCAAAGAAACAGTCATTTAATCCATCCCCGTTGTTTTAGTAAGTTCATTTGCTTTCCACCCACTCGAAACCCCAAGTACGTGTTGGGCCTGCGGGTTGAAGGGAATAAACCTCAACAAGACCAATATTGCCTATGTAATTTTAATTTTTTACATTCATACATTTTTTGTAATATATTTTTATATGCATACACTTTTTATATAATATACTTTTTTTATCACTTTTATACGTTTTAGAAGTTTTTAAGATATTGAGTTTGTTTATTTTGCTTCTAGCTTGGAGTTACATTTGATAATATACGAAGTTACATCATCTTATACTCCAGTTACAAGTTATTATGTGTGAGTTACATCTTGTTATGTGTGAGTTACATCTTGCTATACACGAGTTACATACTTTTATGCGAGAGTTACATGTAATTATGTGTGAGTTACATCTTGTTATGTGTGAGTTACATCTTGTTATACACGAGTTACATACTTTTATGCGCGAGTTACATGTAATTATGTGTGAGTTATATCTAATTATTTGTGATTTTTTACTTATCTTTATCTTGAACTAATTCAATTATAACTGAATTAATTTTTTTCTTTGCCAATTTAATACAAAATTTTATTAATCCACATAAAATAAGTATATTGTATTTCATATTCATACACTATTTTTCAAATGATAAAAATGAAAGATGTAGCAGGAGTTTATTTCATGGTGTAACTCACATACATTAAGATGTAACACTACTAGAAAAATGGTCTATAGTGACACTAAATTAGTGTCACTAAAAGTTTTAGTGACACTATAAAAGTGTCAACGAATGGTTGGAACTCTGATACTAAAAAATGTGTCACTAAAAAGTATCAGTAAATTGTGACACGTTGGTATCATAAAATATAGTGATACATTTGCATTGGTATACTTAACGACATTTTGATATCATATAAATTAGTGATATCACTGGTGTTACAAAAACATATGATACTCTTGCGTCATCCAGATTTATGATACTTTAATGTTTATAAAAATTATGATATGTTTTTGTCAATCCTTTTTTTGATACTATAGTATCAAGTATTAAACACGTTTAATACTCTTTTTGCACCACCATATATCCACCTAAAAGTTTAATTTTTAAACTTGTAAACAAATATAAAACAAATTCATAATCATTCAAAGTATTCCATAACTGTCATATAGATTCAAATCAAAGTCAATTCAACATGAAAATTCAAAGGTAAGTTAACCTAGCTTGTTTTCAAAACAAAGCAAAATCCAAAATAGGGCTGCAAACATTAAGTAGTCATTACATATGTTCTGGAAAAACATAAAGTACATCACAATCATCAAAATCTTATGTCCTTCCAACCATTTGTACTGCTTAACAGCCATACGAGCTTCACAAAAATCCATCTAGCACAAATTATTCAGGTTCGTCACTTCAGCCTGTAAAAATAATAATGATAACTATTTCAATCATCACACTACAGAAAATCCTAATTACTGAAAACTACATTCTTAACACACTTATCTCAATAAATAAAATTTCAACTTACTCATTCAGTAGGTTTGCTGCATATGAGACCCATTCTTCACGTATTTGCAGTATATCATCTTCAGAGTACTCATTTACTGTGGAGAACTAAAGCAACACCAAAACAAAAACTTAACATTGCTTTTAAAAAATACTACAAAACCAAGAATGAGAACCTAAAATCATTTCATGTGTAGGAAAAAAACTGAAGCATCACACAAAAATAAGACATATGAAGGATTGCATTCTGGTAAACACATTCAAGAGGAAACACAATAATCTCACACGACATATCTCTCAAAATCCAAACAATAAATGGGTAGACTACTAAATTAATCACTCAAAAAAATTTATTATGAAAATTTACAATTTTCATATATGTATTAATTGTATAAACCTGAACAGAACCTAATGAAAGAGTTGAGTGATTAGTTTGGTGTCAATTGTTCAGGTTTATACAATTAATACATATATGAAAAGCATATGAAGTGGAACACTTGGTTACAACCAACACATATGTGAACTTGTGAGACCACACTAGAATGAAAGTAAATTGACCAACATAAAGATAACTAATAGAGCACACCTCTAAAGCAGCACTTTTAACCAGTTATACGACAACATCACCAACTGCTTTGATGTTCTGTAGGAGATAAAAGTAGATTTGGATTTAAACAAGAGTATGATACATTGATACTTCCTCTATTCATATTTAGATTCTTGCTATTCTGCATATATGGTTAAAAAATCAGCAAATCGGAAATGGGAAATCGGTATATCTTAATCAAGTAACTAAGCTAGCTGAACTTTTAACAATCTAAATAGCAAGTAAACAATTTAGATGTAAAATAAGATGATAGAAGTCAACCAGAATACTAAAAGAGGGAAAGATGTTACCTAAAAAATGAAATAAAAGGTTGTTAGATTAGATACAACAAGTAAACCAGGTTGTTTATTTCAGCCATACATGCAATGAATAAAAATTATAAGCATGTGCCAAATCTGCTAATAATTTATGTTGTGTGTGTTGAGTGTGAGGCCTAAGCTTAATTTAGCTCCAGGTAGGCTTCTCAAATTTTTACAATAGTTTGTATATCTATTTGCATAACCTTGTTAATAAAAACAAAATCTGAAGATCAAATGAAATAAAAAAGTAAAAACCTTACCCAAAGCCCTCCTAAGACCAGCCTCCAATAAATATACCTTCACCAGTTTTGAAGGACTGCTTCTCCATCCCAGCAAGAACCATGGTGGCAGCAATGTTACACTGCAAACCTGAATTCCAGTTTTCTGGTTGAATAAATAAAATATTTGCTTTACCATGCTACAAAAGAAGTATTCAAAATTTAATGCTTAAGCTAATAGTATATGGATGAATGCATGGTTTAAAACAATCTTTGACATAATATATGCCTATATGGGATGAAAGGCTACTGCCACTAATCTGAAACGTATGGAGACCATCAAACAGAAACCATGAATTTCATTAAAACAGAGAAAGTTTTGCCACTAATATGCTCAGGCTAATGACAATCCTCCTCACCTTCAAACTCGATCTCCACCGTTCATTAAGAAGAAATATATGACTACAAACCTCAGCTAAAAAATCACAACAATCCAACGGTTTAAAGTCTAACATTGGACATTTTTGTAAGTGTTAAAGAACTTCACTGAAATAGAAATGTTTTTTTCGCTAATTTGTCAGGGCTGATAACAACCCTCCTCACTTCCAAACCATATCTCCACCGTTCATAATGTATAAATATATGAGTACAAACCCTCGATGAAAAATCACAACCATCCAACGGTTCAAAGTCTAACAGTGGACGTTTTTGTTACACTGGATGAACTATAAAGAAACCTGAAATTTCATAGTTTCCTCTCTTATGGGTGATAGAAACAGTATATTCAGAGATATAACTTTTACAACTATGAATTCTAGTTATTAAATAAAATCTATCAAAACATGTAAGTTGTTCTCTAATGTATTATAACCCACCTCCAATTCATGTAAGTTTGTACATAGTGAAAATAGATAGCTAGTTTGAACATAGTGAAAATGACCTAGGCAATTGAATAATATCCCAAACGATTAAAGTGCATAAAGCATCTGCTATGGACATTTTTCCAAACACATACCACTGATATCACCAAGCTGTAGGTGGTATTATCAAATCAATAATAAAGTTATAAACTAAACAAAAATCTCTGTGTGGACTTAAGGATGCATATTTCCTTGTTTTTAACTAATAAAAGCAAACAATGGTTACAAAGCACAATTAACCAACCGCACCCAGTGTCATTTATAATGCATATCATACACATCAGCATATTAATCTCAAGTCCTATTAAGGTTTTATAAAATTGTAAAGAAGCTAATGCCGCTACTGAACTTAAGACTAAAATCATGTCCATGTGCCTAGGGGCAATAGTACTTCCATCTATAGAAAACGTACTGGTGAATCAATTAGTTACTATGTAGGGACTACTGTGCAGTAGTTACTATCAGTAACTGCATATGACTATACTAAAAGCAACTAACATATGCGTTTAAGGATTTAATCATTTAAATCCATATTAGAATACATAGTGTTGTTAACACAACTCAATTAATGTCAACAAATGATATATAGTGAAACTAAAATATGATAAAACAAGATAAATCCTACTCGATAATAACTTTTATAGTTTTATGAGAGGAACTCAGAGGATATTGTAGAACCGACTTGTATAAAAAGTTAAAAGAAGGTACAAATTTGAGGATGGTAAATGACTTACAGCAAAAAGAGCACACTCCATGTCTTAAACATGCCATATTCAAAGTAAAGGAACCTGCCATGAGTTAAGGTTGTGAATATATAATCTTTTGAGACCTGCCATGGTTCAACTTTTAGTACTCTTGATTCAAAAGTATTAGAGAGAGAAAAAAAGAACAAAAAATTGTCATCACAAACCTTAAGCCTTGTTGGGTTTATGCTTGATTTATCAATAATGGCAATATACAAGCAGAGACCTACAAATAGCTTTACATTTTGTTCATTGTTCAATTATCAATAATTGATTTACAAATAGAGATCTTTATGACACAATAAGTTCAGTTACAACTTACAAAAATTGATCACAATGAAGGTGAAAACACCATAGGTGACTCTAGTCCAAATTTCACGGGACTGCACCCAGTCTCATCCACCTTGCCATTAGGGTACGTGCATTCCGTTCACTGCACCCATCATCCCTCCTTGAAGTTTCATGACATTACAGTCATATATTTTTTTGAGGGTGCTCTGCAGCCTAAATGAAATTTGTATACCAAAAAGTAATTAACTAGAACTTATAATGTTTTCTCTGAAATTTCAAGGAAAAAAATAGTATATTTAGCCTAAGTGAAAAAAAGAAACAATATAATGTAAATAGAAAAAAATGAGAATTTACCTCAGGTGGAAGAGAGGTGACTGTTGTTTATGGTCTGAGAGCAAATATTTGTGCATCCTCTTCACCCGTTGATGCAGAGCGGTGCGCCAAAAGTTAATGGAGAGCCTGAGTCTTCTTCTGTTAACCTGGAGCAGCGGCAATCACCGTCGCAGTCGTCTGGAGAAGCAACGATCACTGTCGAAGCCATCAGGAGCAGCACCAGCGTCGTCTTCGTCGAAGTAGTCACGAGCATCTGCGGCGTCGTCTTCGTTGAAGTCGTCAGGAGCAGCGGCAATGGCGTCTTCATTGTGTCGGGTCTCTTCATCGATTGAGGAGCTAGGGCTCGTAGAAAGAAGGGGAATCGTGAGCAGATGACACATTTGTGTTAAACCGAAGGGAGAGAGAAACCGAAGTACTGTCTTATTACTCCGTATATTAAACTCTGCAGGCCCGCGGCCCAAATACTTCGGGTTAAATTACACAGCGTAAAAAATGTTTGAGTGTCGCTAAGTGATGATGACACATTTGTGTTAGAAAATAGTGACACTTTTATGTTACTAGTGGTATTAAATCAGAAAGTGTCACTATAAAAGTGTCACTGTAAGCCAATTTTCTACTAGTGTAACTCGTGTATATTAAGATGTAACTCACGTACAATAAGATGTAACTCGCGCAGAAGAAGATGTAACTTCATGATATATTATCAAATGTAACTTC